TTAACAACTTGCTGAGTACATTGTAGGCATATATATATATGCATAATCTCACAAATTGATTCTATGGGCTGCCACACAGTTTTGCAGCTCAGGCGTATCTAATAACTTAATTCGTTTCGTGGAAACGCATTCAATATCACATAAGCATTTTCCACACATTGCCACAGTAGCTCTGCCTCAGGCCGAGATAGACAAACTTCGGGCGTATCTAAGCAGAGAAATCTAAAGCTTAATGGCTCATTAAAAAGAATAAAATAAAAAGAAGAAGAAGCAGATAAAACCAAACAGCCAGCAAGTGGGGCACATACACACACACACGCACACACACACACACACACACGCACACACACTTAGATGAGCGCACAGTGAGTATCTGTGTTTTGATTACAAATTTATTGTTGGTAATATGAATAAAAATGAAAATGAAAATTCTTTATATCTCGCCACTCGACTGCGACTCAACTCTAGCCTGCTAATTATGCATGCCACATATGCAGAGGCAGCGAGCCAACAGGCAGCAGATACCCTGTACCCCTTCCCCACTCCTCCTTTTGCGTTAGAAGCGACAGCAGCGGCAAACAGGCTGCCAGTTGGCTTCGCTGTTTATGCAACAACAACAACAACAGCAACAACAAGAAGTGCAACTACAACAAAATAGAAAGGAATTATAATAATAATAACAATGCTTCAACAAAATAATGAAAAACATAAACAGCAACAATAATATCACGCAGACGGCGTACCAAATGAGAGGCAACATTCGCATCGTGTGAATTTCAATTAAACCTGCAAACTGCAGCAGGCAGTGTGGGTAACTGTTGTTGTAGTTGCAGTTGCAGTTGCAATTGTTGCTGCTGTTGCTGTTGCTGTTGTTGCTATTACTGTTGCAACAGTTAGACGCACTGAGAGTCATGAGCTAACTGCTAATTAAATGCAGCATATGCTGCTAATTAAATTTATGTGCCCGTCGCACAGCTCTGATTATCAAAAATTATTTATGCAAAATCTGACAGGAAATAGCTACAAGCAACCGACAGGCAAACTGGCAACCTGACAATGTGGCAACTGGCGATGCATGGGCTGATAAAGCCAAAGCCGCTGCCAAAAACAGCCACTGTTCGACTGGCAACACGTTCCCCCTCTCTCTCTCTCTCTCTCTCTCGCTCTTTCTAGTTGCAACAAAAATACCAACGCCGACTAATTTAATTGTACATCGTTTTTGGTTGCATATTTAATTGTGTTGTTAACATGATGACAGTTGATTATTATTATTATTATTATTATCATGTGGTTGTTGCTGTTATTGTGTGATGCATATCAAAGCCTTGGCTAATAATCAGTTGGTATTTGAAGTGTGTTTGTTGGCACAGGCAGATAATATGTATGTCCACACATTCAGGTAATTATCTTTTATATCTAGTAATCTATTTTAAGTGAATAATCAAAATGTTCACAACCAGACACAACAAAGATGTAATGCAATTTTCAGTTGAGAATTATTGTTGCCAGCGTAAAGTCAACATCTTGTTAAGAGTGTAATAAATTATTTTATAGACTCAGCAATCGCTTGTGCATTTCTCAATGAGTTCCTTTCGCATTTGTAGGGCAATGCGGTTCCTATGAATGACGAGTCGCACTCAAATATATATAAATATATACATAGTATGACTGAACAATAATGCAAACATTTCGCATAATAGACCAAAAACCACAAAAATAGGAAAAAGTAAAGGCAAACATACAAAACTTTTTCATATATCATATATATGTATATATATATGTATATGTAGTTGGGCAGATAAATGTACACATGTAATATATTGTGCCAAGGCGACGAGCGAGTGACTCAGCAAGCCGGGAGAGTGGTACTATCTTATGGGTTGAGGGGGCATCGGTGGTAGGTGTGGGTAGGCAAAAATTCCACTGCTGATGTCTTTATCCATTGGTCAGCAAGTGCAGCGTGTTGATTACGATATATATATATATATATGAGTGTATGCATCGATGTGAATGTGTGTTTAATTCATTAAATTAAAATTAATGTTTATTTACGCGCAATTTTACAGCGTGCCTGAAATGTTGCGTTGCTGGCCAAAAGTACTGCCAACCAAGCATAAATTAAAATATATTACAAGCAACAAAACAACAAGTGCAGAGCACAGCAGAGAAACTTCAGTCCAAAAGTTGTTGTTGCCATTTAAAATTAGCAACTGCAACTGCCAACTGCAGCAGCAGCAACAGCAGCAACAACAGCAGCAACAACAGCAGCAACAACATCATTATTATTATTATTAGCAACATGAGCATTACAGCAACAACAGCAGCAACAGCAGCAGCAACTGTTGCTGTATCTGACAGATACATTCACAGCATTTCCTTTCCATGAGTGCGTGTCTGTGTCTGTGTTGGTGTTGCTGTACTTGTGTGTTGTTATTGTATGCTTATCTGAACATTGAAAATCTCGCATTTGCTTTTCACTTCACTTTTAGCTTGGTTGCTGCTGCTGCTGCTGCTGCTGGTTGAAGCTAGCTGCCTTTTGCCTTTTTTGCGTAATTTAATTAGTATTCTGTGGCCAGAAATCCGATATTGTTTATGGCTCGGCATTTGCACTGACATTGATTGACAGCAAATAGTAAAATTTCAGTATCTATATAGTATATGCTTTGGTGCCCATAATGTCTCTGCCGTCTGCATAAGCAAACAAACTGGCCGCAGTAATGTATCTTTATGTCTCCTTTTGAGCTAGCTGCAGTTTCTCTCCCTCTCTCTCTCTCTCTCTCTCTCTCGGTCTGAGGTGCATGCTGATGACATTTAATAAAATCAGCCGCGACTAAAGTCTGCTGAATGATGCTGAATGGTCTAATGGAGCTCCAATATTTGTTTAAATTACATGAAGTTTGCCGCCGTTCCAACAAGCCAGAGTTTTTCAACTGGTTTTCAATTGTGTCAGTGTGAGTGGCCCATTTAATCAGTGGGAAAACATGAGCTCACAATTAGATAGCGATCTACAATAAAATCAATTTTGAATCACATATTGGTCCAAGCGCTGTCTCCCCTCAGGCACTGGACACAATAAAGTCAACTGAAAAAAAGCTCAATAAGATGCCAGTGGCTTAGTCGCCAAAAGGGGTAACTTTAACTTGTTAGCTAACAAATTTAGCTGTTTCCACACTTTATCATTCTTGTATTTGTGAGTCAGCCAGGCTGGCAGGCTTCACTCAATTTGTGTGCCCCCGTACTCGACGCCCATGTGTGTGTTTGTTGCAGCTAACTAAATACGTTTCAAGCACTATAATTAAATGATTGTTGGCCGGCGATAGGAAATTAAAAACGTTTTAACAGCGATACAAACTGATAAGACCAATACCAAACAAAAAGGCCCCCAAAACAACGTAACACAAAATAAACTACATTCATGCAACAACAATAAGATAGAAGAAAAACAAAAAAAAACAACAATAACAAATACAAATGTGTAACAAGCGCGCCAACAATACTAAATACATATTTGACGATTATTGCCATTATGAATACGTGTATTTCTATGCAACGTCTATCAATGTGTGTGTGACTTTGCCATTAGAAATGCCAATTGGACGTAATACGTCAAATGTTTAAAGAAATTACTTTTAATGAAATGTGTCATCAGACGAGCAAAACGGAACACAAACACACAACTACAGCGACAGCGCCAGACACAGATACAAATAGAGATACAGCCACAAATACAGATACAGATACAAATACAGATACAGATACAAATACAGATACAGATACAAATACAGATACAGATACAGATACAAATACAGATACAGATACAAATACAGATACAGATACAAATAGAGATACAGATACAAATACAGATACAGATACAAATACAGATACAGATACAGATACAAATACAGATACAGATACAAATACTCACTGATATACATTTGAGAGGGGCACGTCTAGCTGAGGTCGTCACTGCCTGCGATTAGCCTGTGTCTCTCTTCCTCTCTCCCTCTCCCTTAGCGGCCCCTCTCCATTTCTCTTTGGTTGCATGTTGGTTTGTTAATTTAGCTAAAAGTCCATTTAATGCTTAGTTCTTATTGCATTGCCAGCCTGCTACTATTAACGTAATTGTTTATAAGACAGCCTGTACGCTCTCTCTCTCTCTCTATCTCTCTCTCTCTCGCTATGTCTGTGTCTCTGTTTGCCTTGCACTTGATTGGGCACTTTTACACCTTCAACAATAACAATTGTATAGTTGTAACTATTATGTTGTGTGACATGCAGCAGTCATCATCATTACGCGGCTCAAGGAATGGTGGTGGTAAGCTTCTGTAACTGATTTTGTTGATATGAATATGATAGTTATGCAAGTGGTTTACTTAATTGATTATTTAGAACATTAAACGACAGCGAAACGCAAAGAGATTTTTAGATTGTGTAATGCATTTTCATATGAATATAATATATTATAGATTATGGCAGAGATTGGGTAGACTTGGCCAGCTTGCATATATTAAAGCCAAAGTCGTGAGCTGAAGAGTGTGAAATGCAAATGATCATAACTCTTTGACTGCCCACCACATGTTCTCGCTTGTCAGCGACAGCCAGACGGACGGACGGACGGCGAGACGACAACAGTCAACAGTCAACAATCAGGCATTGGCCGTAAAAGTCAAGCACTTAAAAAAAAAAGAACTCAACACTTGCGTCGTTTTATTGCATTTAGCAACGGTTAGTTACATTTTACAATCAAGGCCGCTTACCCCCCACCAATTGAGTCATTCAATTCAACTCGAACGAGTCTCTGTCTCCGTCTCAGTCTCCGTCTCTGTCTCCGTCTCAGTCTCTGTCTCAGTCTCAGTCTCTGTGAGTGCCAAGTGTGATTCTGTCTCTGACTGTGCCTTCTTTAAATGCCTCACTTTACTTAAGCAAACAGATTTTTATCATCGTCGTTTTATGAGCATCATCAAAAACTAATAAAAACTCCATGCGTTCTTTATTTGCAGGCGACCGCAAGCAAAAGTTGAGGCAACGACTACGACGACAACAGTAAGCAGCAGCAACAATATCAACAGCAACAACAACAACAGCAACTTGTACAGCAGCAACATGTTGCACTCGTGCACTCGCCCAAGCAATTTGCATACAAATGTTGCCGTGCGGCACATGAAACTGCAATCGCAATCACTGAAGGAAAGCAGGCAAAGGCCGTCAAAGTCCCCCCAACCGGAGCACAACAACAGCAACAACAGCAGCAGCAACAGCAGCAACAGCAGCAGCAGCTGGCGAGGCTGCCGTTTCATAATTTGATATTAAACATGCGTCTCAGTATGTAGAACTTGTAAATTTGCAAATTGCTAAAACGCATGACAGCAAAACCGTAGGAAGGCAGCTGCTCCTCACATCTCCCCCTCACTCTTCATCTCTCTCTCTCTCTCTCTCTCTCTCTCTCTCTCTCTCTCGGAGTCACTCACTCCGTGCACCTTTCTCTGAGTCTGACCATCAGTTCAAAAGGCATTTTTGCCCGCCAGCGCAGCGTGAATTTGCATTTACATGAAATAAACTCAAACCCAAACCCCGAAAGCCAAACCCGCTTAATGGCAGCAAGAAGTTCCATGCAGCCTCACCACCACCTCCCCCGTATCACCCTAACCCACAAACGCCCTTCCCTTGTCACTACCATGTCGCTCAATTGACTTTCAATTGCAAAACAAACACAACACAAAGCAGCAAAAAAACAAAGCAAAAAACAGAAAACAAAACAAAAGCAGCTGAATTTATTTGAAAATCGTTGTTGCTTTGCTTTTGTTGCTGTTGCTGCTGCTGCTGCTGCTGCTTGGCCTGGATGTATGTACATTTGAATATGATATGTTGATTTCCAAGTGCTCATATATATATATATATAGATAGATATGTATATGATTGACATGCTCATGTTGCCTGATCAATTGATCGCCTGGGAGTGGAAGTGGAAGCTTTGCGGCTGCCAAGTGTTTATTTTGCAATTTTTGTGCGCCTTTTTATACGGCTCTTTCAAAGATTTGCCAATAAAACATAATTTGTTAATATTGCACTTGGCAGCGATATAAAATTTATGAATGTGAAGTGTGCACACGCTTGTCTCAATGGGCGAGTGGACAAAAGGCGTGTTGGCTTCCATCTTACCGCGTCTCAAGTTGTGGCTTAATGACTGGCTGAAATTAACACTCGACACTTAAACCATTTAAATCGATTTTAAGTCACAACTCCGAATCTAGACTAACTAGCTCATTTTATTTGCTTAACCGTTTCTCAATTGAAATCGGTTTGCATAAGTCGCACTTTTGACTAGTGTCATTGAGCCGCCATTTGGCAGCACTATTCAAGCATAGTTGCAAGACTTTAATAAGCCCAAAAAAAAAAAGAAAAAAACACGCAATTAGCCATAAATCATTTTTATGAGACATTTCCCCCCAAAATAAGCAGCAATGACAACAAGAGCTGAATATTTAATAGTCACGCAACGCAAACGCAGCACAAATCGAACCGAAGTGAAGACGGGGAGGGTTGGCAGGCTAGAAAAGGATAACGATAAGGTCAAGGCAACTTGCTTCTTTGCTCGCTCCAACGCATTTGTGCCACACACAGCTAATGGAAGACAATAATCAATAGGCCAAAACCGAACAAGAACAGCTAAAATACTGCATATGTGGGCACAAACCAACAGCAACAAAAAAAAAAGGAGAAAAACGAGCAAAGTCGTCAAAGAATTTGTATGCGTGTGGTGTGTGTGATGTGTGTGTGTGTGTGTGATGTGTGTGTGTTGAGCATGTGTGATTCCCACCACCACAGGATACATGTGTGGGTGTGTGTGTGTGTGTGTGCGTGTGTGTGTACTTTTGTGGGTAGTTCATAACTTTTGTGACTTTTTATCGTGGCTGTTTGTGGTGGTTTCTTTTGGCCCAGAGCTAAGGACTCACTGCTTGAACTGCCATATTTGTGTTTCTGTCCCCTTGCACACATGCACGTATTTGTAGGCGTCACCGTGTGGCCGTCTCGCTTGCACATATAGCAAAAAACAAAAAAAAAGAAGAAAAGAAAAAAGAAACACAAAACTGTGCCAAAAACTTGGCCAAGAACTTGGCAACAACCACTGGCACACAAAAACTCTTTGGCTAAGCAGTTACACATGTGCACATGTTCTACACACACAGTTTGGGGGTTTATCGTAAACGCAACTTTAGCGGGTTACTTATATTTAGCGCGGTTCAGAGAGCTTCAATCTTATCGGCACTCGTACAACACACACACACACACACACACACACATCTACGCAGCCCGATAAGCAATTGAGAAGCAATTGCGAAATTCAAATGATGTCATCTTACAGACGGCAATGAATGGTGCAGTTGCTGATAACTGATAACTGATAACCAGCCCCAGCCCCACTCCTCAGTCCTCAGTCGCTAGTCCAAACAATCTATCTGCATAAAGAAGCCATTAGGTTGTGCGTAGGATTCCTCACAGCTGATTTATGTCGTAAGTTCCATTGAAATTCATGAGTGATCAACAAGAATTATACTCAAAGTGAAAACATAATAGCCACGCACACAACAAATTTTCAAAAATGAAATGAAGTCAGTATGACATCGCCATAGCATGCCAAACTAAACACATACCCTGTACTAAACTATAGTCGAATATCGAAGAGTTGAGGCTCTCAGGCATTAAGAAAAAATAGTACTCAAAAGAAGGAGAGCATTGTTCAAATACCTTCAGTAGGTGCCACATTATTTATTGTTGTTCATACCCATCAGTTGCAGTCTGTAGAGGGTATTGAAAACCGTCCAAAACGGGGCGTGTTACGACCAATGAAAATGTGTGGCCGCTGTGGCTTTGGCTTTGGCTTTTGGTTTTGGCTTTGGCTGCACCTACGCGTTGCTTAAGATTTATATATGTATGTATATATATATATATATATATATATATGGGGGAAACAATCAACAGAGCATATGTATATATATATAATAATCACGCCCTACACTTTAGCATAAAAAACAAATTGTAATTTATGTTATACATGCATATATATATATATATATATATTATATATGATATGTATATAGTTGTTGTTTTTTTTTTAGATTTTGTTACTGGGCAAGAGTCGAAAGAGCAGGCATATTATGTATAAATAATAATATTAATAATAATAAATACAAACCTGTCCATAGATTATGAAAAGAACTGTTGATGTATGAATAGTATGCGACCGTTTGGGCATAATCATAAATCTATGGGACCCCGTCAAGGTGTGCGCTGAAGTGTCAGCCATAAATTTCAAATTTATGTTCATCTTTTCGGTCAAAGCACAAAAGCACAAAGAAAATGCTCGCTATATGTACACATTTATATATATATATATAAATATATATGTATAAATTTATAAATGTATATATATATATATGAAGATAGAGGGGTTTTCGTTGGCCATAAAATCGAATAATTTCAATTAAATGGTGCGGCGATAGTTGCGTCATTTCGACTGACACATTGGCCCGCTTATGGCGTTAATTTCATTGGATTTAGAGGCATTGTGGCCCCCTCACCAACCCTTCAGAGTCACACACACACACACACACACACTGTTATGACTTGGCAAAAATTGTCGCTAATCGGTGCTCTTGTAGACGTTGACAAGTCATATTTGTCTTTGTCTCTGTGTCAGAGCCAGCAAAACACACTTTTCCCCATGCGAAAATATTGCCTGACACCACATATATTTCAAAGAATTAATTACTTTGTGCGGCAGCAACATGCAACATGTGATGAGCTTTCGCAGCTAAATCTAATACATTTGCAACAGTTTGTTCTGTCAATGAGTGTGTGTGTGTGTGAGAGAGAGAGAGGACAGGTATTTCTGGGTATTCTTTGTGGACTAAAGGTTTTTCATTTAGCGGCTAGAGTGACCGTTACATAACCATTAACTAGCCAAGTCATCAGAGAGAGCCCAATTCTCACACACTCAACCCACCTATCCACGCAAACGCCTCATTAAACTCACAGACAAAACTGAAAAAAAAACACACAACCGAAAAAAGCAACAAAAAAAAAAAGAATGAAAAAAAAAACGAAATACAAAAAAAAATTGACCTTCAAAAACGCACAGAAATCAAACAACAATTACAAAAACAACAAAGCAACTCAACCAAGCGAAAATCAAACCCCAACAAAAATAAATTTATGAATGTGTGAGTGAGTGTCCGAGTGTGAGAGTGTGTGTGTGTGAGTGTGTGTCCATACATTATACCATAGATGCTGTTCGCTCGGAAACAGGTTGTTGTCTGTGTCAGTTTTTGTGTTATTGTTAACATTTATTTCATTATGCTTTTTCACAGTTGAGAGCTACGCAAACTTTCGCACACACACGCACACAGCGGCACACACATACACACACACACACATGCACACACACACAGTCACATAAGTGACACAGAGGCAGTGAAACAAACAAAGAGACTCAAATCCGCGCCAATACTATTCTCGAATATATGTATCTCAAACATGTAGAAAACAAAAGATACACACAATGTGATTGCACTTTAATTTGAATTAAATTTGAATGATTATTTCTGTACAATCTTAAAAATAATTGTGCAATGTGTGTGTGATGTGTGTGATGTGTGTGATGTGTGTGACGTGTGTGATGTCATCAAAAGATACAGTTTTTCTTAGCCTCGGTCGTGCTGAACACACAAAATACCCCTTATGCAAACCTCAAAATAGCTTTTGAATAACTATATCTATGAGCTTACAATTTTGAAATCGTTGTCTGATGTATGGGAAAGTAATTCTCTAGGGTTCCCAATTTTCATGTTTGAGAACAATCGGCTCCACTCAACTTAGCCATAAAATAGACTTTCAAAAGATTACTGATTTGATGGTTTTTTTTTTTTCTTTTTCAAAGTATTATTCACACATTAGTTCACAAGATTTATTGCTGCACCTCTCGAGTATTAAGCAAAAGCGATAAATGCAACGCACACGTGACAAATTCGCTAAATAATAGACTCATAAATGCAAAGCAACAATCTCGAGTTGAAAAAAGGCGCCAAACATTTTTTTTCCCCTTTTTTTTGTTGTTTATTTTTGTGGAATTGTCGCACTAAATTCTTATCCGTTATAGCTGTAGTTGCAACTTTGAAGCTGGTGTGCGTAATGGGCGTGTTTACTTTTGCAGGGGGAGGGCGGGACGCTTTCCCCACGCCGACTGCTGGCGGGTGTCTTACGGACATAATAGAGAAATATCTAGAAAGAAATAAACATGTGTAAACATGCACCTTTTCCCAAAAGATATTTTCCGGCAAATCGGTTTAAGGAGAGTCTGTCGATAAATATATACATATATATACATATATATATATGTATATTTTGCACTCACCTGCAACGCACACGTGCCAAATTTGCTAATGACCAGGCGTATAACAACAACAACAACAACATCATCAAAAAGTAACGGCTTTGAGGTGTTAATCAGCGGCCGTAGAGAAACAAAAAAGGCGCCACAAAATTGTTTTTTAGCGGCGACAGCGAAACAAAATAAAGCGCCAAAAGGCGCAGACAAACGCGCGCGCGTATCTAGATAAATATCTATGACTACACACACACACACACACATACAGTTACACATATACAGTTACACATATGCTTGTGCGCAAGTGTGTGCGTGCTTATCTGTGTGAAAATACACTTGAGGCCTGCTACTGTACATACGCAACGCTGGCAGCGAACGTTGACTGCGCGGCGAGCTTCTTGTAGCCATACGCTGCTGCTGCTGCTGCTGCGGCTGCTCGTGAAGACAACGACCAATAACAACAACAACAACTACAACAGCAGCAGCAGCAGCAAGAAATCGAGATGCCGCGCAAAATAATCGTAAACAGATCATCGAACTCCCTTCGCAAAAGCATTTTTGTTGTTGCTGCTCTTTCTCGGCAGCGGCTGCGACTGCGACTGAGCCTACTGCTGCTGCTACTGCGATTGGCCTTGAAAAGTGTGCGCTTTTTAATTTTTGGTCACCATTTCATTTTCATTAATTAAGAGTTGCTTTATTTATTTTTTTTGTTGGTTTTTTTGCTATTAATTAAGTTGGCAAAGCGTGCGGCGCCCACGCAAAACGGCAGCAGTGGCAGCGACTGCAGCAGCAGCAGCAGCAGCAACAGCAGCACCAACTTCAAAACGACAACCAAAAACAGCTTTCACCGTTTGCCTTCGCTTGCGTCATATTTGCGTTTGCGTTTGCGTGAGCGACAAAGCTACAAAGCACACGAAGCCGCTGCATCGGCATGTTGCTGCCGCTGCAGCAGCAACAAACTCAACACACTCTTTGAGGGCAACAAACCACCACCAAACAGCAACTGAAGCAGCAGCAACAAAAACGAGCCGCAGTCGCAGCAGCAGCAGCAGCAGCAGCTGTAGCAGCGCAGCGACGCAGCAGCAGCAGCAACCAACCAACCAGCGGGAGCGACAAACCGACAAGCGGCTGAGGCTTCGGGTTTTTTTTGTAGCTTTGTGGCCTCAGTCGCTTTTTGACGGCGAGTGCGTTCAGTTGTGTTAACGGTAAAACGGTACTCTACTGCTGCACATTGTTTGTTGCTGCTTAACTGGAATTTCTTGATCGTTCGTTCGTTCGCTCGCACTTTCGTGTGTGTGTGTGTGTGTCTGTGTGTTATTCTGTATGTGCGTTTGTGTGAGTGAGTTGCACTTGTAGCGCTGCTATTGCTGTTTGCTGTTGACTGCGATTGGGGGCCCGCTGCTGCTGCTGCTACTGCTTCTGCTTACGTGCCCAACTGAACGTCGACGTTTTCTAATCTGACGATTATCGATTGATAGCGACAGCAGCAGCAGCAGCAGCACCAACAGAGCCAGATAAGCAACCTCTCCGCTGCAACGGCAGCAAACACTAATATATATACACACACACACACACACTTATGGCGATCCCGCGGCCATAGTAGCGACAGCGACGCCGCCGCGCAGCCGCAGTCGACGCCGTGCTGTACGAGTTATTTTCTGTGCGACTGTGTGATGTTTGTCTCAGTTCGCTTTTGGAGCTGCCACTAAACGTTTACAAATCGCTCCGTGTTGCCGACGTGACGCTTTGTTTTGCGTGTTTTCTTAATATTTCGCTTCAAAATCTAAGTTAAAAAATAAAATACAAATATTTCCATTGCCATTGGCAAAATCAAACTGAAATATATTTAAAAACTTTTTGCAGTGCAAAACATACTTTTAAATAAACTGACGTGTGTGCTTAAAACAAAAAAAAATTAAATTATGACTCAGAAAACGGAAAGCAAAAGAAATTAAATAAAAATAAAAACGACTAATTTATCCAACACACGCCGCCAAAATCAATGAAACACATTGTCTAATTAATATTTAATGCATTTTCATAAATTCCACAAACATTTGCTCAAAGCCATTAAATGCCATTAAGCCCACAAGAAAAGAAAACTATTAAAATTCAACAACAATCTATTAAAGACTCTGAAAAAGTCATAAAAATATGCTAATAAAATGATGAAATTTTTCCCTCATAAATTTTTGTACAATTTTTAAAGAAGTTTTAACTCATAAACTTTTTAACGTATATTTCGCATCGAAAATATTAAATTAATTTCAATATCACGATGCTGAAAAAAAGTAACAGCAACCCAAAAAAAAAAAAGGAGAAGGACGCCGAAAAGCAGTGCAAGATCATCATCAGAAATTCCCCTAAGCGCAGAAGAGCCCAAAAAGCAAAAAAAAAAAAGAAGAAAAAACGCAACAAAAAAAAGTTGGATTTTTTTACGCTGTTATTTGATTTGATGGAAAAAAGAGGAAATGTTGCTCAAAAAGAAGAATTCAAAAATATGCTACCTGGTTTTTGCCATCAGCGAGGTATAGAGTTCCTACGTTAAATTTAAATACTCATAGGAACTTCATACCGTGCTCTTGGAAGACCAAAACACAACAAAGAAACCCAACCTTAAGCGGAATGCGATCAACAAATACGCACTTGAAACACCAGCGACTCTTTTGCATTCAGAAAACTACGAAAAATACGTGAGATGTGCAAAATCGCCACAAAATAGCTGGCAAATCATAAAATTACGTGCCAATAACAAGTGCTAAACGACCATTAAAACACTTTCCAACTCGTGCAACACACCTAAAATGCTCAACTTCAAACTGGCAAACAGAACGCCAGAAGTTCTTTAGCTGGAGATTGGCAAAAAATGATATGTTTTGTTTGAAATGGTGAAGAATTATCATTAATAAAAGTTGACTGTTTTACGGAAGGGCCACTAGCAAAATAGGCAAAAAAAAAACCCAATAACTGTTGAAAAACTCGAAAAAAAAATGAAATTGTGATTTTCATAGAAAGAAATAATGGCCATTTAGCTAAAATTGATGCTATTTTAATTCATTTGCCCAATTTTGACTAATCACAATCAGCACAGCAAAGTTACATTATTTTTCAACAAAAAAAAAAAACTTACCTAGCAATTCAGTATGAATTTATTAATGAACAAGCTAATCAAAATAAGCAAAAAAAGAATAAATAAAAATAAAAATAGAGTTCCGAATAATAGAAAGAGATAACTTTGGGTTGAATAAAAGAGAAACACTTGAGCGAATATCTGTATGGAGTAAAAAACTGAATTCTAACAAAAAAGTTTCTTGGAAATGATCACAGCGAGTCAGAGAAACTTCGCTTTTGGGGTTATTTGTCTACGCTTGAATTGTGTAATTTGTGGCCGAAATCATATTATTTAGTTAGTACATAAAGCACTCTGCTTGTTGACTGTTGCCGTGCAGAGTATTTATTATAGTAGCAGAAGCAACACCAGCAGCAGCAGCAGCAAAAACAACAGTTAATGGGAAAGGTTGATTAACAAGAGAATTATTTAATTACACTCAACGGTTACATTCTCAATTAAGTATATGGAGACAGCGACACAGACAGAGACAGAGATATACTAAGCGAGTGGGAAAGAGACTGAGCGAATCTAATACAAACACTGTTAAAAGTTAGGGAGAGAATTATATATATAAGAGCTTGCTAGTACGCAATGACTTTCAGCTAGTTAAGCTCAAAAGATATTTGGTATCTGATAAGCCAATACGTACATGTATGTAATAAAAACCAATTGTCAAAAGTAACAGTATCTTGTTGTGGCTATCAATTGAACCGTGATAAGAAGAACTATTTGAGTAGCCGATATACATTTATTTGTATATTTCAACGAAAAATTGTTGCGTTACTTGTCAAACATTTAGAGTAATTCAAAAAGTAATTTGCTGCTAGAAATCCATTCCCCAATTCTCAACGAGTGCTGCATGTTGCGGTTGCTGCT